CAATACCGCAAAAAATTTGCCCACAACTGCATTGATGGGCAGCTTGCCGTCCATCTAAACGACGATCACCTGAAGATCGAATTGGGCATTGGACCTCTTGGACACCGCCACGCCCTAATGGAAGCAATTCAAAGCTTGAGGAAGCACTGGGTAGCCCACAGCCAGCCGTCAAGGCCCCAAAAGCTAGCGCGGCACATACGCCCAGCATCTGCTCCTCTTGAGAGACCACGGCGACCTTCCTCAGCTTCGAAACACGTAAAGTCGGCTTTGGAAAATGCCAAGGCAGCGGACGAAATCTTCTCTGTGAAATCTGCGCAACATCACTCGATCGAGGATACGCACACAATTGAATTGCAGAGCCCACGGCATAGGAAATGATTTCACAGCTTCGAATCGGTTAGAACGACCGAGTGCTGTGCATTCTGGAGAGAGCCCGCGTGTCGCTGTATTGCACATGCGGCCGGTTCTCCGCTATTTTTGTTCTTTATGCATCCCCAATCACATTCATTGCAGCCAATGTTTGCTGCATGTCATGCGGCGTGGGCGTAGCCTGTGCAACCCATGCGCACACACGCATACGCCTTTGTGGTTATGAATCTGCAACCTTATTGCTATACGCTTTGGCTTGTGTTGCAGGTTATACCTCCTGAGGCATGCCTTGGTCCTTCTCAAGGCAAAATAACTGTGTATGAACAAAGAGCAAAAATGCTGTTTGAGATGGACAGAGCCAGGGCACGCGCAGCCCACAAGCATACGTAGGTTACTTTGGACATTGTACGCGGATAGCCCTGTGCATGCTCACACGTGAGATGTTCACTCCCCGAAAGAACAACTGGCACCTAGTCCTGATGCCAGGGTTACTTGACCCAGTTAGGCTCGGAAGATGATGCGAGATGAATGTTGAACGGGCCCAAGGCAGTGCCAATTTGTTAGTGATCGGCGGAGAACGTTTTATAATTGGCCTGCAGCCTCATGGGCAATGACATGCATTCGCGGTACTTTCCAACTAGAGGACATTCCGCAAAACACCAATACACGTGGTGCACATGTCCCCTACATATAGACACAGAATTCATTTCCCATGGCGGAAGGTGCAGCAGGGGCAGTAGCTGTCATCACCTGGGCTGAGAACCAATTGTTGGCAAACATGTGCGATCACGCTGTAGAAATCACGTCCTTTTGGCCGGCTTTTGACCATATATGACTGATGCTCTGATTGAGCGCACGTACTTGCAGCAGAGCAATGATGATACTATCTAATTAATTGTGTACCACGCAAAATATGGTTCTTTGCACACACCAAGGGCACGACTTGGGAAGCAATTGCTGTGCGCACATGGAGGAGAGCCTTGATCCCAATACAACGCAAACTCCACATTTGACACAGTGTTTTCCAAAGCGCAAAGCCGTCTCACTTTCCTTATAATATGTCGTTTAACTAAGTCAAAATAACCAGGCGTTTTTTGCTGCAGTTTAGCATGGCAAATGTTTCACAACGCCAAGTTGGAGGAAGCGGCAATAAGCCGACTGCAGGGGAAGCTCGCCCACTTGGATAAAGTACATAGACTCGAGATTAATCACACCTCGGGCGTTTTGGACACTCAGGCCCGCATCCCGTGGCACCCAACGGGAGAAAAAACCAACACAAGGGACCTGCATCCGGAGCGTCTGGGGAAGGAGAGGGACCCTCCTGCAGTGGATGAAACCTTCAGTCCTGTCATCAACAGAAACTCTTTGGAAATTATGGAACAACGAAGCGGAGATGCCGCACAGTCCTCCTTTATCGATCGGGTTAAGGCCGACCTGAGAGATAGGCAGCGGAAAAAGGTGCGAGCACAACCGAAATAGCCTTCAGTGCCAGAGGCGAGGCACTCTGTGGTCAGAAATGCGAAAACTTGGTGTGTGTTCAAATGGGCATGCGTCCACCTTGGTGACCCAAATTGCCTGCAACCAGGATCTGCCTGTTGCACGACGAATTCGGCCCAATGTCATTGACAAAGCGCCGGTGGCACCACAGCACTGTAGCGCAAGTTTAGTTCAGTTGCATTGGCGCACCTGATGTCATGGCTGGCTCTGAATATACGGGCTGTTCGCGCCAACATTGGCTTGTGTGCCTTCCAGGAAATGGTTGGCAAATTCTTTTCGCCAGTACTCCTGCTCAAGGATCCTGAAGTGATCCGCAAAAGGGAGCAGAAGGACTTCATGCTCGTGAGGGAATTCGTAAGCACGAAACTTGGCGTCGAGCTCCCTGGGAGCATTAGGGAAGCAGAAGAGCACATAGATGATGCGATTTATGCCCTTCAAGAGGAGCTCAGGCTTGATGAAGACCAAGCAGAGGGCATCCTGAAAATGAAGGCTCAAAAGAAGATCGGCAGTATTGCTGCAGGGATTCGGACAAAGCAATTCATGGACCGATACAGGTACGAAATCAGTGGGCACCGGCGTGTATCAGGGAGTTTGACAAACGCGGAGGAACAGTGAAATGAGAAGTCGTGCAAACATCCGCACATTCATGTAGTTGTATTCTGCCAACGGGTTCCAGATTTCGTCTTCAAACTCCCAGTGCATCATCATAAATGTGTTTGACCTTGGTAAATGTTCAACCGCAGATCGCAATTGGCAACTCGCCAAATGAGGTGCAAGGAACTGCAAGAAAAATGGTGGTCGCAGTTAAATAAGGGGCCAACACGAAAAGATAAAGAGGCTCGTGAACTACAGCAACTCAATGCCCATTTGTCTTTACTCGGATGGCCAGATGTCACAGACCAGAGGTTGGACTCCCTGCTTAAACGTGCTGATCACGAGCGACAAGCAAAAGAAAAGAGCAAGATTGCAGAAGTGGATTGGTCTCGATTCAGGTCTGGCCCTTCTGCCCACGTAAGATGGACTTTGGTACGTTGGTTGCATCACTACAAAGTAGCCACCACATCTCCACCTGCCGTGCTGTCCTGTGGGTCGCGTCCTCACACACAGGTCCCGAGCTGGAGTCGAGCAGAATTGCCTTGTCCAGATCCTCACAGTCCCTGCAAAGAGTAGGAACGATCTGACAAATGCAGTGGAACTTATGTGTCAACAGAAACGCAGGCCTCACTGTCATTTCCAGCAATACGCCCAAAACATGCGCACGACTCCAGTTCTGGCACTCCAGCGTTTCGCCGAAAGCCGCAGCACATGTTCTGCCTAGCTGTCTATGCAAGACGTGGTCCACCGATGTCCATTGTGTCTACACTCCAGTGGAGATGGTCTCGAAGATCTTCAAAAATCAGTCAACCAGAAAGAGTTGCAGCGTGGAGGGGACATGAAGGGGAAAGTGCCCAAGGCAAATGCTCCAGAACCCAGTGAAGGGCTGCCAACGGACTGGCTTGCACACACAGTGCAATTGCTCTCACGCGTGCGGGCGGAAGACTTGGCCAAACTGCAGCAGTTGTCGGGAAGAAAGAAACACCTGGCTGCTTACAGGTAAACCATTCACAGTTGTGAGCACAGCCGAGTTCCAAGGCATGAGCTCAGCATCCTTGAAAGACATCAGGCCAGTCCACCCCACTCCATACCATTCACTGCTGCTGCTTCTCTTGTTGCCACAGGTGGCCCTTGCTCAAAGCAGTCATGCTGTGGCTGACAGCTAATGAGCCCACGCTTCTGCTTCGGGCACCTGTCCTGCTTTTTTATCTTCACACCCAAGTTCCGGTGACTCCTTGCTCACCACAGATCGTGCTAGTGTCAAGTATACCGATGCCAGCAAGTGTGGTGCCCAAAGAACAGAACACACCAAATGTCCCCAATGGCATGTTTGCTGCAGGGCACTGCGAACACAAACATTCCTCGACTTCACGCAAAAAGACATCTTGTTGCGAGACAAGAAAGCACAGGAAATCTACGACTCACTAAAACCTCAAGGGAAGGTCCTCACCAAGGAGCAAGCAGACAGCTTCCTTCAGAGATTGTTAGACGACACCATAAAAAGGTATAGAACATTGTCGTTCGGGCCATGGACTTCTTCACATTCACAGCCACAAATAGACAACAGAGCTCTTGGATACTGCACCTGAGCCTTGAACCAGTCGAGAAAACATGTGTTTTGGTACATTGGCTATTGACCTGAAAGGGGCACTGTGTGTCTGCCAGGCGTGAAAAGCGGGAGCGGATGATGGCTGACAAGAAGGCCAGGGAAGAGGAGGCAGCTGCACTATTGGCCTCAAGGACTGTGAGGGGTTCCAAGGGGAGTGCTGCATAGTGGGGAGGAGGATTCATCAAAGCCACTGACTCCATGTCAAAGTTAGCAGATTAGTGAGGGACCAGCAGGGGCCAACCAGCTCGCCAATAATGTACTGCATTGCCAAGCACAGTGGGTCCACATTTTCTGTGTTGCAACTATTCTTTGTAGTCTTGCAGCGAGTTTGGACCCAGAAGGGAGCCAAACGTGGAATTTCCAAAACCGCTTATACAGCACACAAGTAAATTAGTGCGAATTTTGACCGTCTGCTTGCCAAGGGGTTGTGCAGTTTGCTACGCACACTGTTGCAGTTCAGCCAGCAGTTGCACCACAACCAATGATGCTGCAGCAAGGCCACACAGCATTCATGCACAGAACAACCTCCCACCTCTCCCATATATCTCCCTGTTGCAGTTTAGTGCTGTGAACGGCACCAATGTGCAAATGTACTTTTTCAAACAGCCAATGTATACATAAGAATGCTGCACAAACGCTTCTTCGTCCAACAAGAGCCGGTGACATCGCCACTGGTCTACTATCCTTCGATCCCATTGTGAGCAACGCAACAAGGCTGGGCCCAAAATGCAAAGCCAGACTATCAACCTGCTACCCACAAGATCCCAATGCAATGCATCAATTGCCACTGCACCCCTCTGTATGCACTGCTGCAGCAAAATCATCAACAGCACAGATCGCCAGTACTGATCAGTCACCCAGGCAATGGCCACGACAGCAAAGAGGTTTTTGCACACAGACTCCAACATGCATGGTGCACCTCTGCCAGGGATCAGAATCTGTACCACATTGTGCTCTCCATCGCCCAACTGAACTTGTGCATCAAGGCCTTTGTGAACACAGCCTCGATTGGTACCTCATTGCGTTTGCACCAAGCAACTGTGATGCGAGGGTCCATGTAATTAATTTTAGAGGTTCCAAGTGCAACATTCTTATTCTCCTCTTTGGTCCGTGCCTGGACATCTTTATTTCGTATCGCAGTTTCCTTGGCCTCCACCCTCTTCTTGAGCCTGAGCACATGTTCACAGACAGCTCAATCTAGGTCATTTTAGCTGACATGTCTGCATGCACACTCTTGGAAGAACTCAATGCGAACCCAACAGGAACACCTGACCAGCAGAGGATACTCAGAGACAGCAAACTCTGCAACAACAGCACCTCTTGGACATGGGCCCAGAAGTGAGGGTACGATGCTCCTCTGAACCATGAACCCCATCTTTCACAGTACACAGCCAAATCATCACTCTCCCTGAAGTCATTCTGTACCTGTCTACTTTTTTCACATCACCCGAATCCTTTGCTTCGTCCAGCTCAGCCTGCAGCTCCTCAAGGTCCTTGTTTAGGCCTTCTATCTGCAACTGAAGCTTCTTCATCTGGTCATCAAAGCCTTTGGCAGCTGCTTTCTGATGATTGCACAGAACTGCAACCTAACAAGACAAAAGTACACGGTGATGATTCACATCAATCACTGAAACCACAACAAAATTTGAGGTGTCGAACTTAACCTCAGCTTTCTCGCTGTGATGTCTAGTGTGATGCTTGCCATATAGTGATTTTCCAAAGATGAGTCTTCTGGAGTTCAGGCACCTAAGTGATCACAGATATGAAACAAGGATACACGTGCAGAAAGCAGACACTTCACTTGCTACTCGTGCTGTAGCTCCTACTGGAAGATATGCTGCGGAGCAAATGCAACAGTGTCACTGGGGAAACCTCGGATATCCTACCTGCTTGTTTGCACTGTGATATGCAGCCTTCCGCTCTGGAAGTGGCAGCTCAAGCACTGACTTGAAAGATTTGTCACCAGCATCGTCCGGTGTGCACAGCAAATCATCAAGAGTAATTGACGCGTTGTATGTGCGAAACACCTTGACAGACAGCCCTGGCATGAGCTGCTTCAAATGTGCATTCAGAGCGACTGCATCGAAGCTATCAAACAGCTGTGCTGCGGGGCTCTTGGCTGCAAATGCCATAGCACACACAGGTCAGAGTGATAACAGCTGTTTCAGCTAAATATTCTGCATTGAAAGAAATGTTCCCTCTTTGAATCTAGCGGCTTCTTTAGCTGTACTGCAGTTTTCAGTGCCAGCATTGTGTCTCTTGAGTGACAGCCACCACACTGATAATCCATCTTTCTGGTTCATCCGTCGCCCATGGTAACCACAACAGCAAAATGGTGGTTACCCACTTTTTGGGTACACACAACAGACATCACACATCACACATCGCAACAGACTGAAAAAAGACAACTACAAGCTGCACTCATAACCAAAAATCATTAGAGATCGCTGTCATCACTGCTTGCTCTCCATATCCAGCAAGTACGACTTCACTACGTAGTGCAGGTGTAGCACAAGTGTCACAACAGACTCCAATGCGGAAAAACTGCAAGTCTTTTCGATGTTTGGTTCTGCGACAAATAATGTATGATACCAACCAAAACATATTAGACAGGAGTGAATCATCCTTCAACCCAGAGACTCACGAGCGCCATTTTCGTCCGCCCTGCAGAATCGTTTGACATTCTCATACACCGCAGGCTCCACCTCTACAACATTCTCATATCTGATGGAGTCTTTTCCCAAGAAGTCGAACTTGATTTTGTTAGGGTTGATGCACTCCACATTCTCCACCTGTTCCAAGGGACACAAACATAAAGCAACCAGGTAAGGTAAACACAAACGACACCCCATTCTCTAACATAGTAGATTGGTGCTACAGAGGCGGCGTTTACCAAAGCAAGACAATATGGCATCGGACTTTACACCATTATGCAGAACAGACAACAAAAACTAGAAGATGAAGAATGCCAGCAATGGTGCAAGCATTGCGCTGCTTTCCACTGCGCATACCACAAGCTTCACATGATTGCTGAACATCTGAAATCTGCACCCTCAGCCTTTGGTTGGGTCAGAACATAACCTAACTAGGTTCGTACGCTGGTGCTGACGAAATTCTCAGGGACTGCCAGCAACATAACAAAATGGTGCAAGGTTGTATGGAGAGTGGAAAACAAGAGGTCTGCATGCTGGGCTGTTGCCTGCCCGCAGCCGGCCAAATGGCAACATGATTGTCTCCTTTCCAGGTCACATGGGGTACTTGTACAAACATGGCATCCTGAAGAGCTGCTTTCCACTGTGCTGATGTGCAAACGACACGCAGACCCTCATGTTACAAGCTAACTTCCATCATTCCCACCTTGAGATTGCAGCAGCCCACAGTGTCTGCCTCATCGTCGTCTTTCTCATGACCCGCCCGCAATGCCAGCTTGTCTATGAAGTAAAGGGCAGTGGCCATCTGCCTCGTTGCCCACTTCTTGGACATCCAATCCGCCCTGTATTGGGCTCTTATCGCTCCCACCTTGTCCTTCAGTAGGCGAGCCTTCTCATATTTTGCCTCGTCGCTGTCCATCCTGAAGTGGCTGTTAGCAGACAGCCAGACATATTTAAAATCTCTCACATTGACAGGGTCCTTCCAGTATGCGAGCCATGTGACCGTCTGGTCAGTCCTGACCTCCTTCCAGCTCTGCCCTGGGTATGGGTGATCAGGCACAGGGACACCCTTCCCAATGTTGATCGTGATATCCCGTGGGTAGATCCTCCTCTTCAAACATCCCATCTTTGGATGCTCTCCACGCCCCCTGAACAGACCAGGAGGCTCGATGCGGAAGTTGCCCACCTGTTGAGCACAGCGTGATTCCTAAGTGACTAGAGTTGTCAAAAATCGACACAGTGTTGCCCGCACACCCGCACACCTTCAATGTGACAACGGTTGCTCCACAGCCATATGACTTCTTAATCCATCTGTCCCAGTATGTGCACCAAAGGCAACTAGGGAACCAGCCGGTGTGGCTTACCTGCTCCTTTCTGCCATCAACATAGGCAAACTTGTACTTTGCTTCATCCTCATTCTTTTTCTCCTTCAGCCTTGCTTTCTCCTGCAGGTTGGGTGACAGATGCATTTCAGCAACCCAAAGACAGCATAATAGCCTGCAGCCACCAAGGTAAGTTTGTGGATAGCCTGTACCAAATTCCAATCCTGCCAATGAGTTCATGGTTACTTGGCTATGACAAGTACTTGCAAACCAGCCACGAATCGTGGTTCTGATATCCCTCTTTCGGATATGAGCCAATTGTATTCTGACAGAACAGAGTGGGTTTCCATACGGCTTCATTCCCAATGGACAAGAAATTGGTTTTGTGGATTGCTGGCAGACACAACGTGCAGAATGTGGAGTGGATTCAAGCAAAAACATCTTGCACACTGGATAAACACAACAATGCTCGAACCACATGAAATAATGGCGATGGCAATCTCAATAACGACACTTGGCAGAGACTCCAATCCCCACTGTCAAACAAAGACAAATCCAATTGGGGACAATCGAGCGCCAAGCAGCCAGCGGTACTCCACTTTCCTAAGAGTACACACCTCCTTTGACATCGCTTTCTTATCCTCCTTTCGGGCCAGATGCCACTGGTGGATCGGCCCGAAGTCACACTTCTTGAATTCCTTTATCGGGTGCTTTGGTCCCAGGACGCGTCGAAATCCGTCCCAGAAATTCTTTATGAACGTTGGCTTCTTCACATAGTCGGTGTCCAGCATGACCGCGAAGAATGTCGCGACTTCCTCGGCCTGGGGCGTCAGATCCACAGGGACACCATCATACAGCATTTTCACTCCGTGCGGCTCATACTCCGGAGGGAACAGGACGCCATTCCACTCCAGCGTCTCCCACTTGTATTTGCTTCCGTCCCCGCCTTTCTTCCCCTCGGATTGGGAACTCATTCTGGCTCTCGACCGCGGCCTTGGTGCGGACTCTTGGCGGCTGCTCTTCCGCTTGATGCCAACCGACGGGGCGCGGGCACTGCCCACGGGGTTGCGCCGCGGGATCTGCTTCGCCTTTTTGGCCTTGGTCTGCTGCGCTGCGCGGAGCCCCAAGGGCACATCATCTGAGTCTGAGGACTGCGTCGCCGCGTTGGACCGCATCTGGGCGCCGAAGCTGGGCTGCGCGCTCTTCCTGGTTGCACGAAGCGCCAGTGGCACGTCGTCGGAGTCGTCCGAGTCGTAGCCATTCTGGCCGTTTGAGCCGTCGGCCAGGCGACTGGCGGGAGGCTTCTCGTCGGCGTACTCGGCATCCATCGCGTGCTGGGCCGCTCCCCAACCTTGGCCTTGGTCGCAACGTTCCGGCCTTCGGCTTTCGCCACCCGGTTGCCGTCGGCGGTGGCTGAAGGTGGGCGCCACGCGGTTCTCTCCCGTGTGGACTGTGGGATCGACCTGCCGCGAACCCTGGTCAGCGTCGAGGTGTTCGTGCGGCGGTGGTTGCACCACCGACAATGCTGCTGAGGGAGGCGACTCTGGGGTGCAGACAACCGCAGCAAAAGCGGCGTTTTTCCGAACAAAATAAATACGCCGCCCTCAGTGTCGAGATGCGGCCCACGGCGCTTAAGCCTCGGTTGAGCCGGCGTGCCAACAACCGTATTGTACGACAGCAAGGTTTCTGTGGGGCTTGCCTGAACTGTACCACTGAGCTGGCTCCGTCAGGTAACCATGCTATCCTTACAAGACAACGCTAATGTACTTTCTCCCACAATTCTAACACTTCCTCCCATATACGTCCACAACAAATGGGCCCCATGACTCTATACCGCCGCTTTTATATTAAAACCTAAACAGATACGTCGCACAGAAAAACTTTGGTATCTGTGAGTATTTGCGAAAGCGCTTCGGCCGTCGTAATTTTGAATGCAGATGGTTGCGTGCAAACATGGGAACTGTTCTACTGAAGAACTGACGGTGCCTTGGCTCCCTAACTCCGATCAAGCAAAAGGAACCAAATTTCACGGACTCGCAAAACAGTCTGCACGCAAGAGCCGCGCTGGTGAACTCACAATACCACTCCGTGTGAAACTCGGTGCACTCATTCTAATAATACAAACGCCGTGAGGACGTGCTCAGAAGGGCTTGGCCAGCGATCGCCGACCTTGTTTCGGCTCCTGTTATTTTCAACGTCATGTGTTCGAATTACCAGTAACTGACCACTGATCTACCTCCGTCAATTACTGATTTGTAATCCGATGATTAAATGGTGGCATATGAGAATCCCGTTTCGAGGAATGCCATCAACAATATCTTTGGATGGCTGTCATTTTTCTCGATGTTTCACATGCAACTTTCCAGTTCTCATAACTGGAGGTCAGTGGCTGAACACTGATGTGCAGTGAAACTCAATGAGAGCAGTGAATACATATCAAAAAGCCAAGCTAAAGAGATGAAAGTCTGACACACCATGACAGGCGCAGCTGCCATGTTATGCAAGCACCTGTTCATGTGCTGGTTGACTGGTGCACACATTGACCTGATTGAGATGGCAGGAGGACGGCCGGCCAACAATTAGCTTCAATCTTACTAATTTTCGGGATCATGAGTTGGCACTGTGGGGTGGAGCTGTGGGTTGGTGCCGTGGGTCGATGCCAGGGGTCGGTGCTGTGGGGTAGCGTGTTGTGCGTGTGCAAAGTGTGAGTTCAATCCGGCGCTCTGAGTGTGAGTGTTGGTGGGCAAAAAAAGAGGCGCATTCTGGTATTTAAAGAGAGCCCGAGACTGTTCGTGGCTTCTCTTGGTTTGGTTGTAAGACAAGTTGAGTCTTGGCTGCTTGTCCGACCATGCACGGCGAGTGCGTTTGAGCACCGCGTGCACCAAGGTTGCCACAGAGGTCGAACCAAAACGGTTTGACTCGTGCTGCGTTGTGGCCCATCGCTGCGCGTGCATTCGATTGCGACGAGCGGGACCTCGAACCGGGATGGCTAAGAAACTTTATCATCATGTCTATTTGGATATTTGCCTTTATCTGTTTGAGCGCATCCGTGCACAGATCAGATTTTAAAGACCACAGACATTTGCGTCATTCGAGGTGGTAAGGATTTCGATGGCAAGTGCCGAGAAAGGTTTGAATGGTGCAACGGCTACTGGTGACGCAGCTCTGCCCTGCTGAAATGCAAGTTGCCTCCAGGTTGCTGAAAATTGACCGAGTGTGACGAAATTTGCCGATATTTTTTGTGACACAACCCCAAATCCCTTCTTAGAAGCTGGTGTAATAGAGAGCTGTCATGTTTGGCTCAGTTCAGACGCTCGTTATTACGACAGACAACCAAGCATGGTCGTCTGTTGCAGTCCTCTCGACATTGGGCATGGGGATGCCGAAGGTAGCTCTTGTAGGTGCGTGATGCCTGTCCAATTGACTAGGTGCACACGCAAGGTTGCCTTGCCGGTCCATCTGCCGTGGATTGGCCTGTCGTACACAGACACCCGGGTCCAAAATGAGTTGCGGATTGCCACAAACACATGCAACAATCTTTCTGTATGTCGGGGATGGGGGTTGGGCAAGGCCGGCACAGCCGGCAATACAGAGTCGGCACCCACGGTCCTCAAAATCCCGCAATACCAGCCGATTTGAGGGCCCGTTCTTATTCCATAATCTAATTCGCTCAGTGCGTTCATGCCTGCGAAGCGTGGCGCTGCCCATGGCACATGGGCCTCGGGCGACGTGACCGGCGAGAAGACCTTTGCGCTATATTACAGGCAGAAGTGCAGGAGCGTTCGTGCAAAGCCACAAATGGCAACCACTGCGGCATCCGGCACACTGACCAAGCTTACCAGATATGTGTGAATAGATTTGCGATACCACTGCAGGTGGCACTATATTTGCATAGGAACAGACGGCACAGATGCAGCTATGCGAAGCTAATCAGTGCCTTCGCAGTCCACACCTTGGTGCAGCTGTGCTCACCGAGAGACACATGGTGTTGCTGTTGAATGAGATTCGCGAAAAGTTCTTTTGTTTAAGCAACCAAGGCACACTTGGAACGAATGCATATCCTTGAAGCCATTAAACCTATCTCAAAATGCAAAATTCGAATCAAGAAATTGGCATGCAATAGTATTCCGATAGTATTTCTAAACGGTCAGACGCCTCGGCATCGAGGATAATCCGCATCCCGTACCGCGATTTGTTTGGTCCACAAAAGTGAGCTGTAGTGCTCGTTTCGTACTTCCGGAAGAGAATATACACGCCGACGAGTCGTTTGGTGAAATTCTTTTACAATAAGACAAATCAGAGTCACAGGTTCATGTCACAATTTAAGCATGCTAATTTCTCGCTACCGACACTTGGGACTGCCCAGCTGACCCCTGACACAGCACCTAAAACAATGCTGCCTTTCGTGTGCTGTTCTGAGTGCGAAAAATGCGGTGACGTGCGGCTCTCCCTTGATAAACTATTGGGTAGATGCAACCTCCCGAAAATGCGGGCAGGGACAAATGCTGGAATGCGACCTGTCACAAACAACACCACATGGTGGTAAGATACAGAACGCGTGCTTGATCTACAACTCGGTATCATTATTAAGGCGTCTGCAAAATACGCTGTGCGTGTTTTAATACAAGTCACCTATCGAACAATGCCACACTCTTATTTAAGATGACCTGCAGAGCAAGCACACAGAAATGGGCGGCGAAATTCACGAAGCAAGGGACAGCGATGAGACGTGCAGAGTGGCTTGACGTTCACGAGCAGTTTATTCTTATTGCGCAACGAAAAGCTAGGTCCAGTGCACCAACTGACAGCTATCGGTTCACATCGGTGCAAAAGCGAGAGAGTTGGTGGTTGGATCCCGGTAAGGTTAGCATCACAGCAGGCACTAGGAGAGCATGCGAATTGTGGCTTGTTGTGTTTGCCAGTCGAGAATACAGTTAGTCACCTATGGAGTGCCAGTGAATGCATTGCATGCTTCCGGGTCATCTATGATGGGGCATGAATCGAGAGCGCCCAGCATCTCCGCTTTTCGAGCTTCTGAAGATTCGTAAAGGATGTCAATGGCCGCAATATGCGTTTGAGAACATTCACCTGTCGATGCACAAAAGGGGTGAACTGCAATCAGCATAGTCTCACGCGGTAAGGCGATTTCCGGATCTGAAGAACCGAAATACACAACGTGAGTTGGCCGTGGCGCAGGATTGCTGCCCTTAAATTTATGGAAGAAGCAACTCTTGACATCCACAAACAATCCATTGAGTGCGCATCGGCGCAATTGAGCATTCTAACAATTTCATTCAGTCCGTATTTCAAACCACAGTTTCAGCCTTCGTACATCTTTTCGATGAAACCACCGACCTACCGTAAGCATATTCCTACGATTCCAATATCGTATTCAGAAAGTTTATACACGGGTGCAGCAAACAGGTAGCTACCCACCATCCTCGTCGATCTCGCACTCTCCATCGCACGCTGCTTCGGTTAAAGTGTACTCACAGCGAAAATTCTCCTCCATGTATCGGCACAATGCAGAGGTCGCCCTGGCAGAAAACCATTGCGACACATCGACGAAAGGGAGATAGCCACAGCGGTCTTGTCCCAGTGACGTGCAGGGTATGCCGCATGCATTGGAATCCAGGCACTGGATGTGGATGCCGTAGGCTTGTGACAATTGGCCATTCGAATCGAACGCCTGGAGAGGACGAACAGTTATCGTCGCGACCGAGGCAGGTGGTGACGCCACAGGGACAAATGTTCCAGGTTTTGCTCAGGCACTCAAAATGGCACCCAGGCTTTGCTGTCGCAGCATCTGATTGTTTCGAACAGAATGCTGCATGTGCAAGAAATATTCTGTAGACATCTAATAATTGCATGGTTTCCCTTGTTGAATCGGCATAACACAGGTGAAATGCCTCAGAAGACATACCCACACTAGGAAAAAAAGGGCCAAAATACACTTTTGCGAACACACACAAAGCACATTCCATCAAAGTTTTGAACGCTAAGAACACAAAAATAACACAAACCCTTAAACTTTGTACGCGTTTGAACACGTGTTATTTGGGCCTTTTTGCCTAGTGCCATCCAATTCAACTGAAAGAAAAAAATCACATTTACGGATTTGCATGTTGCTTAAGCGACTGCCAAAGTTCCAAATGGATTCTAATCTGTTATGTCCACTGATCAAGGAACAATTTGATGGAGGAAAAAATTTGGGGCCATGAACGTTCGGCACCTAAAAATACAAGAACCAAGGGAAGCAGCGTGAACGCGCGTTAGCTTAAAACCTCAGAGAGCAAATGCTGCGCTCATGTCAATTCATGACGCCGCAAAACTTCCCACCTCCTGAACTGGCTCGAAATCGACTTCGCATTTCCCATCCACCGCGTTCCTGTCATCAATGAGCAACAAGATGTCATAAATAGAAGAACATAGGCCTGTTTTCTCCCCTGTATGAATTGAGAAAAAAGCGCATCAGGACTAATAGGCAGGATGCCGATGAAAAGGAGTGCAACAGGTTGCATACTTCTTCTTTGATTTTAGCCTCAAAGGCGCTTGGCATGACATTCGTGTTTTTTTCATCACACGACATGGCCATTCAAACAACATTCCGTTCCTGCACGCACCAAGAACATCCTGGCAGAGAGTTGCAGTCAATTTCCCGGTGCACTCTCGGGCATTGGCCAGCCCTAATGAGAACCGCGTACTCAGGTACCAAGCAATCCCGGATGCCTGCAACGAAGTCGACGCTGCACGTGCCATCTGCACCAACCCTACACAAGTGCGGGACTGGATTCAGGCATTCACGCAAATGTGCAGTACATTTCTCTGCAAATGGTGGTAATGAGCACGCGAACTCAGACAAAAAAATCAGCTGGGCGCTGAGAAGGTGATGCCCACCATTGCATGTAGAGGGAGAATTACTAGTGCAATCCACGGAACGGCCTGGAAAGGGCGGCGATTATTATGATGCTCATTCCGCATCCGAAACGTCCCTTCAACCGTGTATGTCTGTATTCGTGCCTAACCAAACCAGCTCGGCAACATAATATGCATCATGCACGCGTGCATTTGGTGCGCTGGATGAAGAGGGTTATCCGACGCCCCAATTGGCGCCTAGCTGCATCACACAATCGAGACTGGATCACCACTTTGGTTCAAATTCTTTAATACACTCGATATTCAGTGACTGAGCATCGCGCAAACGTTTCCAGAAATGTGGATGTATATGAAGCGTTGCAATCAGATCGGACTCTCGGCCACTCCAAAACGATATCGGGGTGCGCAATGCGGCAGTCCAGGTTGGAAATCTCCGAATGGGATCTGTGTGATTACCAGAAGCACTCGGGCACACCCAGGCAGTCCTCTCTGAGAGTTATGTTTGCACACATCTGCAAAGAAAGCGTTTGCAAAGTAAAAAAGGTTTCATTGAAAGTGATAAACATAAAACGCACAGATGAATCACCAGTGGCTGTCAAGTGGTTTCATGCATGAACGCAATTACAAGGCTGTTGCATCTTCACATGAAAACTTTGCTTGACAAATTCTAGAATATGGTCGATGCGGCGGTACATGAACTGCCACTGACATGCCCGTCGGGGTGCAAGATGCGAATAACGAGACCTAACTGCCAAGTGTCAGATAATTGCAGATTACCGAAGAGCAATTGGCAATGAGCACACGCACTTTGCTGCGCATTATTGTGTTACATGAGCAGCCCTGGGATCACGCGTTGTTTGCGATTGCATCCACAAAGAACAGAGCATAATCTACGTCTGTGCGCCCCTACAAGAGCACAACAAGGCCTGGTCTTGCACGGTACGCTCCAGAAGTATGAAGAGAATGGAAAACGGAGCTCACACCACATTGGATTTCTGAAGCTGGTGGCAACCTTGTTACGTTTCTTCATCACAACTCTTTGCATATTCTTTCAATACCCGTCGCAGTTGGCTTTGAAATAATGCTGCATGGATGGCACAGTACAAGACGTGGCATTCCAGTTTGTTGCAAATAAGTAAGTCTGTAGACATGTTGAACGTCAGAAATCCTCTTACTTCGATAGTGTTGAAAAACTGTGAGGCCTGAGGATCCGGTGTATTCAGCTCTATGCGGGGCTCACACTCTTCATCTGACCATTCACACAGTGGAAGATCCGATTGAAGCATTTTTCTCATTGTAGGAACTTGCATTGTCGACAATCCCTGCAATCCACAAACACGCATATAATGTTGTTGATATTTGGAGCTTTTTGCAGCGAAAGCTCAGTCTCGTTAAGATCATCACAAGCAAACAAACATGCCACTCGAAGTATCTGCCAATAGGGATTCCTCAGTTTACACACAAGACGAGGAAGAAATTGGCGATTCATGATGACATATGTTGTAACGTGCTTTGACAGTAGGTATCCAACTGCTTCAGTTGCATCCATTCAGACAGCTGGCACACTGGGCACATGTCTGTGTGAGATTCGTGATCTCCAAGATGGAGCCAACACGCGTTCAAACTGCCTGTGTGCAGTCCACATCCATGGAATCAGGCTTGCTATTTACGACGTAAACACGCTCAGCATGTAACAAATTCAAACTACTTTGCACATATAAAATCCGCGCAAATATAGGCTGCATTTACAGGTTTCACATGTAAATTTAGTATTTACTTTTTTGTACATAACAATGCGTAAAAACACGTAAATTTGGACCCTGTGTACATGCGTTCAGTGCGTGCAGACTCAAGGAGTTGGCGAGTGGCAGCCAGACGCGCAAGAGTGGGAAGAGGACGACCGTTTGTTCGCCGACGTCGTTGCCCTTACAGAGGGCGAGGCCATTATGTTTTGCGGGTGCTGGAGGGGGAGGCGGACTGATCATTGTTTGCTCTTTCATCATGTGACTTGGGTGTATTGACGTGCCATCAATATGTGCAAATGTTGCAGTAAGAATGCCCGTTTCTCCGTTTGTTGCTTTTTTCGCATGGAAACGTGATCGCACAAACATTGCTCTAAATATAAATAACCAGCCTGTATGTAAGAAAAACCTTGACAACAGCATTGAAAGTACCAAAATTTGTTGTTTAGTATTGGCGGGTAATGTTGTAATTCTTAAGTTCAATCGTCAGCACTGGCAGGTGTATTGGATGCGTCATTCATGGACATCCTGGGAGCGAACAACGCAGAAGCAAAAGCTGCTTGGCTTTGCGTTGCCGTTGCAAGAACATTGAATTATCACTGTGAAGAAAAGGGAACGGGTTTTGGTAGCAAAGGTTGCAGTCGAAATACCTTCGAGAATCGATGCGGCGACTTGATGGTGCGCATCTGCAGTTGTGGGTATACCGTCTTCTGCGGCTTGGGCACAAATTCAGCGCCTCCAGCGTCGGGCAGAGAAAGGATCAGAGTACAGATCACACATAGCAGTAGTCCTTGAGTTCCCATGGCCATCTAGAGGATCAGAAAGGACCGTGTAAGGCAAGAGGGCTCCGTGCCAGACAGCACAAAGCGCAATGCACGAACTCAACAGTCATGGGTTGGTACCAAATTGAGCATGGTTGCTTAAGTGCACACAAATGAAATGCAGAATCGTACAATTAGTGGCCGGCAAGTTGGCGCCGATGTAGGTGGCTCTTTCACGACTTTGAAACAACTTCGCCCCGTTCGCAGATGTCATGGTTTTTCTTAACGGCCCAATTTCATTGTGATCCGACGCGACGCGCGAAGTTGGCCAAACCCGAGACGCACATACCCTCAATGGGTGAGGGTGAGGTGTGCACTGTGGGCAGAGCGGTTTCACCACCACGGCGCTGTCTTCGGGGACAAATCACGGAACGGGACGGGAGGAGCAGGCCTGCCCAGCGGGGAGCGGCTGTTTCCAGATTGGCCTGCTGTCGTGCAGCAGAAATAAGACGTGGGGGGTGCCATTCCCCACCGCTTCCGTGTCGGCAGCCTTTGGCGGCCCAGCGCCCTCCCTGACCCCCTTTGGCTTCCACGTCGTTGGGCACGCCCACGGCCCCGACGACCCCCCGCCCCCCTGGCGATAATTCCTGCCGACACTGCTGAAGTCCACAAACCTTCCAACCCCTCCCTGCGACGTCGCAGGGGGTTGCGACGCGCACCTGCGACGTCACAGGAGATTGTCCCTTTTCTTCGCCAAGACATTTCAGGTATGTGGGCCAAATTGGGAGCCCATCAGCAACCATGCCGTGTTCAAGAACGCAGCAACCCATCGAACGGGGCGGTATGTGGACGCCACCGGCTGCCAAATCCAAGTCCGAAAGGGACGTTTCGTTCGGGCCAATGGCATGTGCCCTGGCGAGCACCTTGCGAACACCCGCAAACCGCCCAACGTTCCGGATCAACTGCTGCTGCAAGGGAACAGCACTGCCAGCAGGCGCTTGTCGGTGAAATCTGTGCAGACGCGGTCCTAATTAGCACTCAATTTTGATCATGAACGGGGCGAGGCCCCAGCTTCCCGAAATGTCGCTCGACTGGGCTAGTCTTTTTTTCCTTGGCAGCGAGCTCTCAGTCTATGGAAGACCGTGGTGGCGCAGCCAAGCAAAACCGGTAGACAATGGGGAACCGCCTCTGAGTGCAGGCGGGGCGTCCACACGATTGATGGGCAAATTCTGCGAAGCGCATGGGAAGCAGTGTCTAGAGGGCAAACGCAGCCGCCCCAGGCAGAAGGACGCAAGGCGCCAAACCCGATGCCGCAAGCCGTACGGTGTCTCGACAAGCGTGTGGAGTCACGGCGAAGATCGGAAAGCGCTGGCTGTCTCTGGATTCCAACCTCTGGTGTGTTTGTTCGCGGTTCATGGCATCATGTGTTTTTCCCAGCACCCCAAGCGGGGTAGCAGAATCCGTCAAAAAGCGCACCAAGGGCGACCACAGCTTCCTTTGCAGCGCACCTTTACCGGCGGGCAGGGCAACTGCAGCGGCAAGCAGCCTTGCGCGTAGTCCGAACACTGCTCCTCTCGGGGTGCGCTGGAAGGATGCTGGAGATGTCGGGGGCCGGGGGGGTGGGGTGGGGCGAGGGTCCAACAGACAGCACCATTTTGTATCCTCACACATTCAGGTGCACGTCAACAGAGGGCGTCATGTGGTGCACGTCAACAGAGAGCGTCGTTCGTATCGTGCTGCCGGTTATCATGCTCAACAGACTGTTGAGCCTTAGCCAATGCTGATGACCTCACGCAGGAACATCCACCCAACATCCGCCTTTGATCTGGAGCCATCCATTCCCTATCCCCACCCATCCACATGATACACACGGAATTGACGCCCGTAAAGTTGAATCAGCACCACACCTATTGTGTGGCAGAGTGCACATGTCGTCAACTCATGTCTGTTTCCCTCTAGTCGCGACAGGTGGCAACGGTTGGAGCCTCAACTTAAGTTCGCTGCGCAGCACATTATGCAGTTGGACCTGCTGCCCACCGAAAGGGGTAAGTGACCTTTCGATCGAAAGTTCCTCGCGAGGAACGGTGTCTGTCAAGCACGGACTGTGGGGCACCCACCGTTAGGTGAAGAGGGATACCTCGTTTGGATGTATACTGGAGTGAAGCATGGATCGTTCGATGCGGTGAAACACAACATCTGGTACTTTTGTTTTATTCCCACCCACCTCTGCCCTTTGATAATGTGGCTTGGATCGATGCGCATAAATCGGCAAGCCAAAGAGAGACAAGCCAAATTCGTGTGCGTGAGTCACAACGGTCTCGCAGGAAAAGAACCTGTCCAAGGGCTCTGGGGAAACTCGATTGAATCGGGCTGGGTGAAAATATTCCCAGTTTGTAGCTGCACTGCGCGTAGGCAATGCAAGGCAGGGACAGGCCACTCACCGATTCAATGAATGCTCCTTCATCAGCGAGCAGGTCACCCAGCAGTTGCACAGTTCTGTTGCTTATAGCTGACTCGATTGGCGGCGCCGATTTGGCGCTGCTATTGGAGGCTGTGCGTTTGCTATATGCGAAGGCATGCGGCTCTCCAAAGGCACCGTTAATAAACAAACAACGTTTTCGAATTGGGTGCGAAAGCCCATCGTTCGAGTCGAAGCCAGCAAAAGCAAATCTTAGGTTTCAAGATGCCGTTTCTGTGGTGCGCACAATGTGCAGAGAAATTCCATGAAAATTGCAAGCAACTCCGCAATAGCATGCTTTAGGTACGCAACACGTTACACTATGAAAACGGCTTGTGGCTTCTGTCTGTCAACTACTTATCAGTTCAACACCACCTGCAATTTCTAAAGATATCCTTCGGTCTGCACAATTGCCATACGCTTGTGGGCAGTGTTCAATGGCGCCCAGACTGCCGACATCAGAATATTTTGCCTGAAGAAAAAGTTCAGCTCGACGTTCTCTTGCACATTTAAATGGCATTAAATTTAACGCCTGGCACATAGGAGGGCGCTGACTAGCGATCACACCGAAATTTTCCTGACATGCCAGCCGTTGATGGGGCTAGCTCTATGTGTACGGATTGGAGGGAAAGGCTTCATATGTCGTTGTGTACGTTTATGCACACAGACGGGCACGTACTGGCCAAGGAGCCTGCCCGAGGGGTACACAGGTACGAGGCCAGCGGGTCCGTGCTGCTTGGAAACTAAAGCAACAGGGGAGGACCGTTTGGCACGGGGTTGTGGATTCTGCAACTTGGAAGTTAGGTTTCGAGGGGAAATCTGGTGAATTTCAGTTCCTGCTGTGTTGGGCCGCATAGGGCGAGGTGGTTCGTTTCTTTGTACTGGGTTGTCTTCAATGCGTACAGTCTGTAGTTTCGCTGGTGCGCGGCAATTGACATCAGGAAAGGGGACGTTGAAAGGTTGGCACCTTAGATGTTGTTCGGCATGTGCTAAGAATAGATCTTTCGTCGCTTCATTGTGCGTTGGGTGTCAGCCACCGGGCCGGGCAGTGCCGAACGAGGCGCAAGAGAGAGGAGGATTGCGGATTGCCCTTTACACAGCTAAGGCAAATTGCGGACTACATTTATGCAGGTAAGGCTAACTCTGCGGGACGTTCAATTCGCCGTTCGAGCACTGGTACCAGTGAGTAGAATGAAACCTAGCAAGGGACATGCGGTGAAATGGGGCCACAGCCGCTGTGCGCCTCAAAGCGTTGTGTTGCGCTCAATTGAGCAGTGATACATCACGGGCAAGTGCCCAACCGTGCAGCTGGCCCAGAATTGGTGTGTTACTGTGTATATAGGGTCTTGTGTCTGTGAAATGCAGCCTACAGCCCATCTGTTGCGATTGCCTCTAGGGACTCGCAGATCTGCGTGTCTCTGGCCCGCCCTTTCAACGTTTGCGGAGCCCATATATATATCCAGATACATCCGGGCTTGCAGGGGAATGATACAAAAAGCAATGCTACAGTAGATTGTATTTTACAAATGGCAGAGATGAAATCAGTGCAAGGTACATAAAGACATTATAATTGGCGAACGCTGAAAAGGCCTCGGCCAACAATTTGTCAAGACCTGTTGAACACAGGAAAGTGTACTGCCAGAAGCACAAAATCGGTACATAATTGTTGTGCGAATAATCCGCGTGCATTGAATGGGCAATTGCCACGTTGTGGCACCGCTGGTGGCAAGTGGTATTGGTGACGTTGATGAACTTTCCCTGCTTCAAATGCCTGATGCCGAGTTTCGGACGTTGTCAATCGCAGGTCCTGGTGCAACGGATTTCGGAAGGAGCCCCTTCATTACCTGATTTCCTGAATTGTTCAGGCACTAAGTCATTCACCACTCACAATACTAATCAAGTAGTCCGTGCGCGGTGACTGAACAATTAGTCGTTGAAGTTTCTTGCAAATGTTGAGATCCACTCTAAATGCGTACGACCTGGCCCACTCTACGACACACCACTGCTCAATCGGTTCTGAGGCAACGAGCCCGTCCTGGAGGTTTGCGCCCACGGGGGGCGCCATGGCGCTTCGGGGGCTGGCCGCGCGCCTTGTTCCTGTGGGTGCACCCCATGCAGGAGGCATCCCTTAGATACAAGGGAAACCGCTGGGCGGAAGAAGTGGGTCCGCCGACAATCCACGCTCGCGGCCTCCATGATTCTCTGTGGCTCTACTTCTCGATCACGTCAAATGTGACTGTGCCTCGGCAGGGGGATTTTCAAGGCTCGCCCAGCGCAGTAACCCTCACCCCGCTGGAGGTTTCTGGCTGTTCTTGGGCAGCGGGTGGCTTTGCGACATCTGCACGCTCCGGGAGGTACGTCGCCAAAGTCGTCCTGCGCTCAACTGCTCTTGAGTCCGCTAGTCCATATGTCGAAGCAGCATAGACGCGGTGCAGTGCATGCTGTTGTTGGATGCGGTGGTCTTCCCCACACTGTCCTTCCGAATTCGAAACGTTGTCTGGCGATGACTGGAGTGCGCTGGATTCGTGTGACTCGCTGTGTTATTGGTTGTCCGAGGTATGTTGATTTTTCGTGGTCTTGTTCGAGTCCCTCCTGGGAACGCCTCAACACAGCAGAGTACTGGGAGGAAGCGTTTTATGCGCGACTGCGAGTTGCTATCAATTGTACCCATCCACTGGGGTTCCACGGTCGTTGGAAAGTTTTCCAATAGCCCATGTTGTATTGCTTTGATAACAGCAGTCACAGGGTGGCAGAGCACTAACCTTTTACCTTCGAAATGTTGACGGGCATATAACCTTGGACACCGTTCGTGAATGCTGGGTGCTTTCCAGTGTGTAACTGGGCTGATGGTCTTGTTGCTGCTGTGAAGGGCACTGCGATGACCTGCGGGAATGGTGTTTGGTGGTGCATGGCACTGGTTTTGAATTGTGTAGCTGCGGCTGGAGAGCCGCTGCTCTCTAATGAAGAGATTTCATCAGAACAACATCGAAACTGGCTCCGTGGATTGAACTTTGATTCCAGCGTTGCAAAGGTGCCATACAAGAGTACATCATTCCTCAATGGTCATGGGCGTCGATGTGGAAGAAAAGTCGTTCAGCGCTTGGTGGACCCTGGCGCTTTTCTTTTGCAGAAATTCTTGCAAAAATCCCGGACATAGCCGCCTGGCTTGTCAACATCTGCAGCATGCTGCTGAAATTGGCCCCAGAGTGCATTTGTTTTTGATCCTCCATCTGCTGAATCAGTGGATTCTGGATCACCCAACCAATAGAAGGATTAACGACCATGCAGTAGCAGCAGGGAAGTATTTTTGGACCTTTGGATTGGTGGTGCGAAGAGGCTGCGCCTGCCAAGATTACTGAATGCGAAGCACAAAATGCTCTGTTCCTGTGTTTCACTTTTTAGAGCCATTGCCAAACGCAAGGTGCACCTGCACCTTCAAGACAATGAACAGAAGTTGTTTGTAACCCCAGATTTATCTTCTCATTGTTCAATGTGCCCAAACCTAAAACTGTGTCATGGCAGACTGGCATTGCAACCAAATTGCAACATCTGAGGAGAATGCTTGTAGCGGACAGTGCGCTGTGTGGATGGAAGAATGGCAGTTGTCAGCCTCTCATTGCAATGCATGCTCCAGATGAGCGCGTTGTAGCTATGTCCAAGTCCCTGGAGGTTGGTGTGCAGCATGTCTGTGTTTGAGGTGTGGAATTGTTGGCCTTTATCAATGGCAGTTGCTTTAGAGTCTGTGTCTTTCTCACACTGTGTTGTTCAACTGCAACTTTGGACATGGAAGTGTCATTGGCCAGGAAATGTTTGCAAGTAGCAGTTATAAACAACAGGAATTTGCAGAGCCATCCTTTTAGAAACACCTGCATTTGGCTGAGTTCTAGTTTCCATTTACTCTGAAGGTGGTGCTGGATGCACTGCTTTGTTGTATACTCTGTCCACCAATGGCTTTGTAGTTTTGTAACCATCGGCTCTTTTCTAAGGGCTCTCATCAGAGGGGGCTTAGCTCTGTTGAGAGTTGGTTTGATGCAGTCGTCCATGTTTGCTTACTCATTGTGCTTCACGACAGACGTGTGAAAACATCATGTCCAAGGATGCTTGCCTTGAGGATCAACGCTGCCTCTGGTGAGTCAGCGCTGCCGAACAGCCAATGCTTTAGACACCTGATGCACGCAAGGGTACTTGGTTTGCATTTACTGGAATGTGGAATTCCAGGTTCTGCCTTGCAGCAAGAACTGTGGACACAATGATGCCATCAATTCCAGGAAAAGCCGATCCAACATTGCATCTCCTGGCGACACAGGAACGTTGACAGTTGGAGCATTGCATTCTGAGCATGACCTCAATGTACTTGGAAGTGTGGGGGGTCGGATGGATTTGGCGTCCAGTCAGGGCCCACGTCACCTTGCTATCTTCTGTTTGAAGTAGGTTGCTGCATTGACTCCCAAAATATATTCCAAGTCTGACAGTATGGTTTACCATCTTCAATGCATTAGACAGCCCTCTCTCGGATAGTCTGTACCGAGCAAGATTCATGTTGTGGCATACCCTGCCCTGAGCACAGCCACTTCTTCAATCATTTCTGCAGGCTCAATGGCTGTACAACAGACCTTCTGCGCGACGTTCAGGATTGCCTGATTCCTGAGTATCTCACAGTCAGGAGGGCAGGGCTGTGTCCAAACATTGTCCGGGAGTTTGATTGTGTCGTGCTGGCAGGATGTGAATGGTGAGTGCAGCGACTGTCGGGAGTTGCCAGTGGAGGTTCGTGAGGGAGGAGAAATGCACGAAGACGGTCATCTCCTACCTATTCTTGTTTTTCATACAGTACACATGCTGTCAGCCCAGACCTGTGGCTTTGTGGATAGGCTATCCATTTCTCCTGGTGTTTGCACTTTGGGTCTGGATTGGAAGCCACGTCTCAACACAACATGTCGATTTCATCTGGCCAAGTTTCCACCATATGCCATTCCATACCCCAGCTGGTCTGAGGAACTGCTTCCAGCAAACATATGACATAACAACATGACAAATGCCCATCTTAGTTGGTGTTCCGCGGTTCAAATGTCCTTCAAGGGCATGTGAGCAATGGTACAACATTGTCCAGGCATGTACCTGTGCCTTTTGTTGATTCTTCATTGGATTAACGCAATGAGCTGCACTCTACTTGTGATACTCGGCACTTGGATTGAGACCTTGACAGGCATTCTGGGAATACCTGTTGCCATACAATGAATGCTGTGGACACATGCAATCTTCTGTAGCAAATCTTTATGAAAGCCACACATCCAATGTGGGGTAGGGGACAAATATGGAAATGCAAACATAATGGCAGTGCCGTCTGTATTCTGCAGGGACCCGCTGGATGGACAGTGTATCACCGACTCGAAAGCCCTACTCGAGGTGGTGCCTTGATGCCGGTGATGTTTCCAATACATGGGGCCATGCCATTTCTGTGACAGTATGCAATGCCAGGGCGGACGTGTGCTTCCACCAATAACTGTGTGGTGTTCCTTGGCGAGCCCAAATATACTGAACTGCACAGGAGTTTGGTCCTGTTCCGTATTCGGCGCACTGCCACATTGCAAATTCGTCCATGGGAATTCTATTCTGCTTTGTATTGAGAACCGTAAGCCGTACATGCCAGGTTTCTCTCCATTGTTGCAGTATTTCGTTGCCTCATTGCCATGACCTGACGTGAATACACTGGGCCCCCCTCCTAGTGGTCATGTATAGTGCTTTATTTCTGTGCACATTTTTGCTTCTTTCCACAAAAGTCGTATTATGTGCCCACACTCGATGTAGTTACTAGCTTATCTCAAGTCACACAATTACATCAGATGCTTGATGTGATCTCAGAAACTGTTGCGTGTAACTCGTCTCTACCCAAAAGACATAGGATCAGCTATTGGGTCAAGCTCAGCAATAACATGGCCAAATGCCACTGCAACATGCTCCACACAGTTGAATTGCGCCAGCCCACTGTCGAACAACGTAACACTTGTGTGTGGAACACTTATTTCCATGCCTGAGAATCATGTTTTGTAAACAACGCGGAGGGCCTGACAAGAGTGTTCATGCGCAGGCCCTAAGGTCCAACGAGAATGTGAGCAGGGCGTACAGCACGAACACCATGTGTGTAGCCTCGAGCCCATGCGTAGAACCTTGCACCAATTTCCCCAGAGCGGGCTGCCTCTTTCAATCTGCGTCGGACATTTCACAGTGGTTCAAGCCTTCTGCTGCCAGCCCGTTTTGCAGGTCGATTCAGGACACTGTGCGCTGCCAATGGAAGGAAGAGGCAGGGTCGTGCATAGGAAATTGCACAGCGGGAGAAGACGGTGCGCCACAGCTGATCACCTCATGCCACCATTTTGATCCATACTTCATTGTATGTGCTCCGTTCCTATGTCGAAGCGCGCCCCCACTTAGACCGCAGGAGAATTTGAGCTGGATTGGCTGGGCTGCGGGCAAGGTGTCGAAGACGCTAGCGCAGGGCTCCAAGCGTCCTGTTCGCAACAAAGCAGGCTCTCATTCTGAATCTGTGTCCTTTCATCGTACTTTATAACGCCGTTCTGGGATCCATGCCATCTTTCATTGCCGCAGATCCGGAAACACAGCATGTAAATGCGTCCATGCGGCATCTGCCCTCGACTGGAAGGATTGCACAGAGCGCTTTTGCTTTCCAGAATGCGAGCGCTCGAAGCTGTTATGTTGGTCTGCAGAAAATGGTGACATTGCGGTTGATATGACAGCAACCACCGACTCAACAGAATACATTGCTTGAAATTCTGTCGATATCTCGATAGGGGAAAGGGTACAGTTTAGAAAGCGCAAGCCTGCAAGGGGAATGGCGCTTGCCATTCAACACCGGTGGTCCCCAACAGCGATGCGATAGAATCTGAATTTGCTAGGCTGAAGTGTGGATGAACATGACTAATATCAGTATCGGGGACCCAGCTGTTACACTGCACTTTAGCACTCAACAACGCTTCCTGTACACGCCAAACCACGGAAACATCTCCTTCGAAATGAGGCGCAGATGACGAACATCGTCATATGTTGATGACGAATTGTCGGTGGCTTGAAATGGGCTGAAACACATCCCACGGTTGGCAATCATTTTTTTGCACTATAGGAAGGTCCCATTTTCTGTTCGCCTTTAAGGGCTTGTGTGCATTGATAAAAAGACTCATTTGTCCTAGCCGGTTTGTTTCTGCCTTGTAGGAGAGTGCACCTTGTCGGGTGCAGCAATTGTGGATATACTGTACGAAAACAAGCCAGACCTGCATGCTCGCATGAAAAAGGCAGTTGAATACTGCCCCGCCACGAAATTCCGGGAAGAATGTGAGGCGTTTGGTGGCTGAGCTCGGGTGAGCAACAGTTGCCGAAGCTGCACCTCTGTGCTGGCAGGCCGTCTGGAGCATTTTCAAGCCACAAGACAAAGCCTGATCTTGAATGGCCAGCACAGAATGTCCCCGAGTGCTGTCTTTTTGTTCTTTGCTCTTTCACTGTTGCACAGAGTTCTTGATGTGCTTGGCGGCATACTGTTTCCGACAAGTTGACAACCTCCTATATGTCCCCCTGAGGGAATGAATGTATCACATGACTTTTCCGGACAATGAGGGATCGCTCACTGGGACAATCGATGGGAACAGTGTATCTCCACTTATCGCCGCAATAACTTGACCATCAATGTTTAAATAACAGCTATGTTCAAGTTGGCAGCTTCAGCATGTGGCGCCTGTGACAATCCAGGCTGTTGAGCCTTGCTATGATTTCATAACAATCACGTACGAGAGTTACGCTCCTGCACACATTACTAACTCTGTGCGTTTTGTGGTGGGACGTCAGGCAAATCTCTCAGTATGGTGGACCAGTGCCCGCTGGATGGATTGTAGATGCCCCATTCACTTCATAATCAAGACAAAGAGCCCGGATTGTCCCAAGATCAAATGCCCGCCATCCTTAGCACGAACAATACGACCCGCAGGTCGTCGGCATGGGTAGTCACTCTGGCCACTCATGGACTTTGCATCTTTCTGGCCGCCCCCCATGTTTGCATTCCGCACCACGACGCTGCCACGACGCTGCACTGTGACGCGAGGCGGAGCGCATCTGCCTGTGCGCAGGGCTGCTGTGAAACGGGGCATATCGCCAACATAGAAATGGCAGCAGGCAACTATTCAAAAAAAAGAACGGATGGTTTGTTATAAAACGACTGGAAATAGATCGAGGATGACAGCAGAAATGCCCAAAGTCGCTGATGTGCAACACAACCTGACCCATGGTTGTGCAAGAGAATCCAACATGCTGACGCCAGGCTACAACACTGGTGCCAGTGAGATGTGTCGCGCTGCGGGCACATTCATCTTGCTTTCTGCGCTTATTCATCTGTTGTTCGTCGCTGTTGCCCACACTCTCTCCCAATGAGCCTATAAAAAACAACCAACAACTCATGCTGTGCGTTGTACTTCATCTCATTGCACCACACAGAGTACAACAGTGTTGATTTTGTCGCAGGCATGCCCACCCTCGCCAGGACTCGGCTTTGCGACACGATGGCGGTCACAGTATGCCACTGGAAATCGGCCAGAGGGAATCTTCTTCCTGGTGAACATTTTCCCCACAATGTTGAAACTCAACCCCTCCACGTTGCCTGAGAGATCTCTACGTTTAGAGCCCAGAGCAGCAGCACGGTCACAAGCAATTCCAAGGGGAAAGACTCAGCCTGGCGTGGCGCAATGCCTGGGGTTTCATTCGCATGCCCAGTAAATGAGAGGAGTGCCTTTGGAGAATAGGCACCCACAAATGCCTCACATGAGCTTTTAGACCTCCCCTGGTTCACCTGCTAATTGCCAGAGAATGTGTTGCATTCCTCAGGAGACCTTATGCTTGGGCACTCCTCAACCGCCTTAAGCATCCGGGCCTGAAGCACGGGGTCCTCGCTGTATGCAAGATCAACAAAAGCAGGCCCGAAAATGTCGAAAAAGCAGACGCCTGCACATACCAACGCATATCAGCTGTCAGCAGTAATCCCTTGATCTCCCAGCAGGCAGCATCTTACTAGATTCCTCTGTTCTGCACCTGATAATGCAAAAGTCTCAATTGCAACAAGGCAAGTACGAAATGAAGAACAGCAACAACAAAACACTTACACAGGGACATAACGTGACCAGCATGCTCCTGGTAGTGTGGGACATTGTGGGCCTAATCCACACTCGAAGTCAAGCCGATCCCAAGTCCCAAACATCATTTGTTGGATACGTTAGCACACAAAGCACAGCGCATTTCCCGTATTCGCCATCTTTCGCCGTGCGCTTCCCTCCTAGGACTGGAGATTTTTCTGCACCGCAGCAAGAGCCTCCAGCTGTGCCACTGGAGAGGAAGCGCCATCTGACAATCTGGCCTGTTCCAAAAGGACTCAGCCTTACGCTCGCCAGTGTGATTCAACTGGCCACCGCTCATTTCAAACCGCTGCTACAAAAGTCGTCACTTTTTTTCAGTCAACCAAGAAAATCATGGATAAGTAGGAGGAGTTAGGATCCACAAACATACAAAGAAAGCTTCAAAGAAGCTCAAAGGGGAAAGGCCTTTCGCGCTTTTGCTTGTTCCCAGTCCTCAAGGTTGCGCCTGGCCTGGACTCGCATCGACAGGGCCACACAACTTCACTGCAGGGTGAGAATATGGTCAACGAACACGCTCTCCTATTGTCTGCACTCACCTTCGCCAAGATCTACAGAACAGGGCGGGGAGCAGGTCCTCGAGAAGGCGCACTGCGCGAATAGTTTCTGAAACTGACAGTAGGCCGACGTTGCATTGGGCAAAAACCATTGGGAGAAGTCTTGGAGCTCCAGGAAAACACAGGCGGAGGAAACCGGAGTACAGGGAGCTGAGCAAGAGCTGCTAGCCAGACAGTCTTGGTTCTGTGCCGCGGCGTTAATCAACGCTGTGTTTGCAACCGCAAGCTGCATCGAAAACAGCATGGCAGGTCATCAGACTGGTCAATTGTCTGCCCTACCGCCGACAAGCATTCAATCTAAGGGAACACATTGTTTTGCGCTAAGGGAGGGGCTCAGACCTGTGACGTCAAGAACTTGTGTGTTTGCCACAAACTGAAAGTAGGCTAAAAAGTGGGCCAAACCGTCGTTGATCAGGGACACAAAATGACAAGACATGTTTTTTAAGAAGCTTTTTGAGGGAACACACTATTTTGCCTTGGTACGCTCAGCGTCAATCCTTATTTCGACGCCAGGACGACCCAGCAACATAACCTAACAATGCCATACAAGTTCAAAAGAGTTTCAAGGGAAAAAACAAAATTGTAGCAATCGCAGTGATCTGAAAAATGAAATGCCAAAAGCAATGATAGGTGATGGGAACAGCCCAAAAACTTGAAAATTGATCCATTCTAAGGACTGGCTGGATGATTGAAAATTTGAGGGAAGTTTTGCAACAAGTTATGAGTTATTTACTGCTGATCAGTGCTATTTTTTGTTCATCTTCCCACCTTATTTTGATTTTAGTGCAATTGCATAACTCTTAACATCAATGGCTGGAGCCCTCCCCACCCCACCACCACCACCACCACGTTAAGGGTACCAATATCAAAATAGTATCTTCCTTAAGTGTCAGGTCTTCATGGAGAGCCAACAATATTTTAATCAACAGCCTCGGGTGCTGGTCCCATTGCCTAACATCATTTCAAATACCCCTTTGCCAGCCCTATGTGATCCCTGCAGCTCCGGCTGTCTGCCATCATTAGAAGCCACCCGATGTTGCATCAAACTTTAATGCTGCTGAGTCGTCCTGACATCAAAAAAGGACTGACGCTGGGGAAGGGGAGGGGGAGGGGGAGGGTCTCAGCTTGAATTTGAAGCTAAGCGTACCAAAATCGAAATAGTGTGGTCCCTAATGTATGTACCATCTTCGAAGAGAGGAAGAGATCATAAAAGAGGCCAGTGGACATTAGTTGTGTCACAAGGCTTGTTGAACGCAGAGAAACTCTGGGCTCAACCCTGTAAGTGTCAGGCATGGGCAGACCTACAGCATATATATGACGTCCCGAAACATTTCCCAAAGCACTGTCCCACCACCAAGTGATAACTGGCAAATATATCACATATGAGTACAATGCGCCGATTCGATCCTAGCCCAAAGAGTGCATGCGTGCATCACTTTGAAAACAATACGAACACTGGTCCGTTGCCTTCTGCTCACCGGTATGACCTCCTCCTGCTGGGCATTCAGGCATTCATCACCTTCCCTGTCCACAGCATTCCACAAGATATCAAGACAAGCAACAATTGCAGCCGTCACGATGGTCGCAAGCCCAGACAGTGACAAATGCATATCAATACATGCCACGATACAGAGCTCAAACGGATACATGCATCATCATATTCGTCACTTTGACTACATTTGTCACATGACAAAGCAAATGCCTTTGCAACATACTGGCGACGTCAGGCAATAGTCTCAAGCATATTGTTTGTTTGTTCCCACAATGGTACACACATGATTCAAAGATTCACACTCCTCTGAACCACGGGGCTTCAAAGGCCCAAACTACGTTGTGATATGTTCACTGAACCATTGTTGATATGGCCGGCACCTGTTGTTGTTCTCGTTTGTACTCACCATGAGCATCCTGGAATTACTTCACACTTTTCCTCAGTCAAGAGAAACTCACAATCCAAGTTGCGCCTAAAAGCACTGTAGGCAGGGTCCAAGCACTCCCTCATGGTAAACACAGTATCGGACGCGCATCTGCCTGCCGATTCACGCCTAGCAGGAGATCAAGAAGGGATGTTAGCATGACCACCGACATTGAAAGCATGCACAAGTACAAAGTTCAAAATGGTGTACACAACATTGTGCATTGTCGTTCTTGAAGCAACAGCCGATTCTATCTAAACAAGTACAGAAACGAACACACACGCACACACAGTGGTAGCACGTTGCGACAACTCAATTGCGACCAGCGTGTCCCCATGCATGATAGTCAGAAGGGGCATGCTGATTGGCCCACGATCAGGATATGGGATGTTTATGCCATTCAACAGCATTTTGCATCCGGCCATTTCCCATCACCGACCCTATCTTACATGCAGAATGTCTGTAGCACACCAGTACATTCCATTTGACTCCCCCAATTGGAGATGTCTCCTTGCTAGGAGACAGAGTGTTACTGCAGGCGAGCGATCTGGAGTTTGCAAGTTGTGTTTGGTGGGAAGCATTAGTTGCCCAGGAGGAAACAACATTGACACCACCCAATGTGCAGACGTGATATCTGCTATGAGCGACACCTGGTTTTGCACTGCAAAGAACTCTGTTCTGCATAGAATCCCAGAACAATACGAGCTAA